ACGTTTTCTTCTAACCAGACATCAAGATCAAAAAGTCAATGTTTTTATTCATTTTTGCAATATTATTAGTATAAATAATTTTAAGAATGTTTTGGAAACAATATTGAACCATTTGGTATAGAAATATGCACATGCATAGAAAACATTAAAGATGATGTTGTAGTTAGTAGAAATCGACCGGACGCTTCCAAAAATAGAATTGTTTTAATCTTTATCTATGCAAGATAATATCATATCATTTACAACTTATTCACAATGTTACCTTTCGTTTCTTATATTTTCAAATTTTTGTATCCTTCATTCATTATTTATACCACTTCTTTTGCCTTTTTTCTAAAACCTATTACTAACTCTTTGAATACATATTCTCTGTTCCTCTCTCTTTATATAAAACTTAAAATTTAATGAAAAGTCTTATATCAACCAAAAAACTGTGCTAAGTTTCATGATTTTCATGAGAGGTGCACACTTCGCCCTATTTTATGCACGAATGTCTTATCGTTAAAAGATAGTTCTTCAATCTAAATGCATCTGGTACTTAAAAATGTATAAAGCTATACTGCATGTGCATTGAAAATTATTGTTTATATTGTGATTAAAATGATTTCAGAAAACCTAGAATGAAAGAAATTTGTCAGCATATTTCATTGAAAGCGAGTGGGACATGCGTGAAATCAACTTGCTAAAATAATTCCGGGATATTTTGTTAACGTACTATGTTCAGATATATTAAATAACAGAAATTTTGTTACAAATCATTCAAGAAATATCGGTATGATCATAAAACATCATATTCTTTTTAATTTATTATTTAAATAAAATATTTCATCAGATAGAGCTTTATATACTTTAACTTGAATGCAACAATTGACCTAAAATTGTTAATGTATAAATTTTGTTCTTCAACTTTGTATATAGTTCAATAAAATAAAAGCCGATTTATTTTCTGAAACGATAAAATAACATAATTATTGTAGCCCTGTACTGTTATAATTAGATTATTTGTATTCTTGTAATTTCATAGAAATACAAGCAATTCTATGTAGCTAATTAAACCAGATATGTCTGTGCTAATTAGATAAGAATTTCATTAGGACAATAGTTCAAAACAAAAGAAATCCAACGCTTTGGAATAATTGAATTTGAATATTTTACCATACTTCAAAATGTCTTGTCCTGTCTACGACCTTTATCTCAATCCGAGTCAATAATTAGTTTTGTATTTAGGTTAAAATGAACGGTAGAATTTAGGAAATATAACAATACCGTCTTGGTTAGTTTTAAAATTCAATAACTTGGTTATATGTTGTCACTTGTGAAAGGAGTCTTCAAGTATGATTTTAGGCACAGCGGGCATTTGACTTATACAAACGGCATTTATTAATCAAGCTGTAAAGCTGATTTGAAATGCATTGGTTTGAACCACGTGGAATGCCCAATATGCAACACTTTTGTTTAAATCTAAAATATTACAGAACAATTAATGATGGCCACTTGCCTTGATTTCTTGCGCCCTTTTTAAGGTTTTCTTGTCGGCAGTGTTTTGTGCTAAACGATTATACACCTTATAACTTTACATAAATTAAAAATGATTGAAAAGGTAGATCCGTCGAAAGTTATTAGAACAGAAAGAGATAGTTTATAATTGCATACTCAGATTTATTGCGCATGTTCATGAGAGATTATGGAGTATTCAACACATTGTCCCCTATAACACCGGCTTAAGCGACATTTAAAACTCAAACAATTTAAGTATTGGAATCTAAGGTTCGAAAGGATGAAACAAATATGACAATGCAGATATGAAGTTCAAGACAACTTATTACAGCTACCACATAATACGTGTACCTGCTGTTTTGAGCAGTCAGACACAAAAATAAGACGCGTTAGTAAAAGCATACACACTACTGGCTTTCTTTGAATATTTGAATTTGAATATTTGAAATATTATGATAAGGGAAACTTAATTCATGAAAGATTTATTCAAAAGTAAATGTAACTTTGTGTGTCTTACTGCATCGTCTTCGTAATACTGATACCTTTGTCACAAAAATATGTTTTGCAGAGTTTACTGAAAATGTAATTAGCTTTAATTACATTTGGACAATAAGCGTCGGTTGAAAACTTGAAAACAAACTAATGACTGCAAATTTTAAATGTACTTGTTATGTACTTTGCTCCGTTATTAATGATTTATAAAAACCACATTTGCTCGACGAATTTAGCATGTTTAATTGGAATTAGAGTGGTTATTTGTTAACAACAGGAAGCAGATGCGTATACTTCTTTATATAAATGCGTATACTTTATGTTGACTTATCATTAAAATGGAAAGTTGTTGAATTTCTTTTTAACCGTGACAGCTGTATTTCTAGTAAATATATTGTTTTGAATCAGAGCTGCACTAACTTAATTGTTTTGAACTTCAAATCTATTTTCATAACAGTTTGTTGGAAATCATTGAAGCTTTGTGCATCTAAACTTTGAAGTTTTAAATGAATATCGTTTATAGTTAATGATTCATTTGTTTTATTATAACAAACATTTGCCACATTTGCCAAGAACAACAACAATAAACGTAAAAAATATTCAGACAGACAGTCGAACTTGTTTTTCTTGTCTTGAACATTTTGGAAATACTTCACCTGTTAAGTATTAAAACCTGAATGTATATAATCACATGTTGTAGTGTTAGATCATTTTACGCACAGCTGTTGATTTGTTTTAAATTTGTAGAATATTGTACGATTCACTCAACTCATCGGATGTGTCATGCGTGTAATTAATGACATTGATTTTAAGTACTGGGTCGCTTTGTGAGAAATTGGCATTGTGAGAAATTGGCAACACATGTTAGTTTTGGCGGACCGACCGCTAAGATGTGACCAAAATAAGCGATAAAATTGGACAAAAAAACAAACAAGACCGATGACAAATAAAATGATATCATTTGAACCCACCAATATATCTGAAAGAGACTTTCTTTTTAGAAACTCAGTCATGCTAGAATATTAATGTCACATTTTGTAATATATTGTTATAAGGACACTTAAATGAATCTCACATAATATGCATGTTTTATTGATTCAACATTGTGAGATAAAGTGTTACGCGCAAAATGTTAGGTGTATGCGGTCACGTTCAAGGAATCGTGCAGAGGGTAAAGATAAACGTCAGATAAAAAAATGAAAATATATGTGTGTAGCCATCTTATATTATCATATATTAAGTGATTCTAATGAAATTATAAATCGTCATGAGACTGGCGTATTTTGTGACTATGCCGCTTTTCGTAATATCATGTCAGGATCCCTTCTGTAGGACCATGAATGTATCCATTTTAATATAGTTTCTATATATTTCTGATTATGTTTGTCTTGAGCAGACTTCATAAAACCTATTTAATAAACCCATTTAATCACATTTAAACAATTACCTTAGTTATATTTACAAGCATTTAAAACCTTTTAACGATTGTTTAATGCATCTATTTTCCGTTGAGTGATTGTTGAATGCAAATGGTAGTTTATTTTTCATATGAAATTAAAAAAAAATGCAACTGATGTTATTTCATAAATAAAAGACATTTTTTGTACAATCACTCTCTTTTGGGAAAATACTTGAAATTTAGGATGGTTTGCTTTGCTTAATGCTTCATAATCTGTAAAAACCAAAAATGAAAATAAATGATGAAAAATCCTCACACCACATAAAAGTGTTGCCAAAACTTTCATGCTTTTCAATAATTTATCACTGACGCTGGTTTGAGAACCACTTAATAGAGTTTTTGTTATATTTTATTGTTTTAATCCAGGGGCTATTACACTAGATTTTCGAGGAATAACAACACGAGCTTTTTTTAAATGAACAAAGGGATAAACAGCAATTTGTAAAAAAAGAATAAAGAGAATTAGTGTTAGATTTATTGTTTTAAATTCATGTGTTTTCTTCGTATTTCTTCTCTTTTCAATAATATACAGATATAATTCAACTTCTGTAACAGATTGATGACTTTTCTGCAAGAGGGTGAAACATATATTAAAAGATGTCATTATTTTCGATCATACCATTTGCTTGAGTGTAATTTGAATCCATTTTGGTATGTTTTTAGTCAAACAGGTTCCGTACCATATTGTAGAGATAAAAAACAACTTAACAACAGTATCAACAAAATTATTTTAAAAGTTTATATTGATTTTTGAAGTTTTTTGTCTGTTTCTTGGTCCGATCTTAAAAAACAATTTATGACGTTTATATAACAGATAAATAAAAACAGTGTTGCAAAGTGCTTAACCCAATGCTGGAGGTGTGATGTGTTGCGCTTTCGCTTTTTTTCTTCATGAACCGACTCAATAAAACTGAATCTGTGGTTTCCAACTATTTGTTTTTATTTCCATGATGATTTTTTGTACTCACTACAACAGTTGTTTTCTTCGTACTTCATATTTATCTGTTCTTTCGGGATCATTGATTTCAAAACATTTTAGAAGTTTTGAGGATTGAAGCTTTTGCTACTTGGTATGTCAGATTCGTCGCTTTTATGTCTCATGAACATTCACAATTAAACCGAGTCTATAGTAGGATGTTCAGTTTCCAAAATTTTTGTTAATCGCTTTACGATTCTATAAATCATTTTACAATAAATAAATGAGAACAAGTTTTACTAAATTGTGCATGAATTTGTTTATTTCAGATTGCCTTGGATGTTTTCTGGCTGAAGATGTGTTCGCAAAAGAGCCCTTGCCTCCGTTTCCTGCATCGATCAAAGATGGTTATGCCGTTATTGGTAACTTATAGATTTACATTAATCTTTTTCTTCCTGAGAAACACTTACACCTCGTTGTTTACAGCTCGCCTATTCGAAGGTAAGGGAGAGCTATTTTCCTCGCCCAGGCGTCTTCGTCGGTGTCTACATCACCATCATGCTTCGGGGTAACATTGTTCCTGCTACTTTGTATCTCAACAATTATTGAAGATAACTGGTTGAAACTTCAAACATTTATTTGAGAGCATAATAGTCTGTCACTTTCCAAGGCCCATTTCGCTTAGTAAACATGGATTCTGCTAGAATTCTGGCTCTTTTCGAATTTAGAAAACTCTACAATAGCCAGGCTTTTGCTTTATCAAGCACCGATGATATCTGAAGCACGCTGTCTTACTGACAGCTCTTGTTTTTGTTGCTCATTTGTTATTTTTTCCTTGTGTTTTTATGCTAAAATACAAAGTTTTAGATAACAGAATTGCATTTCACTATCACATATTATTGAATAAAATTTGCATGAAGTCGGAGTTGATTTCTTTTTCTTGCCGGAAAAAGACTTTGATATTTTAGACACATTGGAAATAATGTGCAATGTGTGTCCCTGTATTTCTAGCTTGCCTGAGTTAGCTGTTCAGAAGTTAAAATTTGTTATAAGACTATGATGCTACCCGTGCCTCGTCAGTTGTAATCCACGATTTTTTCAATAAACCAAATGGTAGAGTTTTACCAAATGTCTAAGTAATGCTCCTTTGGTGGCCTTCTACAAAAGTGATATAAAAGTTTAGAGTGTGATGCATAAAGTCACAGTAGCTAAATTGGACTACTAGTAAATGGATTCTTTTCAACCAGAAACAACAATACCCAGAGCTTATATATTTCGCATGGAGCATTTAAGTATTGCCCTCACAATATTAAAAAAGGTTACTGCTCAATTGTGGCCAAGTGATCTACATCTGCATTTCATAATTATATGTTGTTAATGATTCCCATGTGAGCTAGTGTAATTATAACCCATTAAAACGGCAACATGACACTAACATGTATGTATTTACAGCTGCTGATGGGGGAGGGACTAGATTCGTTGCTGGTGGGTCATCCGCAGGGGATGAGGTAAAAGATGTTTCTATAGAGATGAATTATTAGTTTAGAAATTTATGAATGAAAAGTTTGTTTCCGAACATTTAAAAAGACGTTTTTATGCAAATAATTATATAAGATATGTATGATCACCAAAATCCTTATGCATGCATGTCTTTACGTAAAGTAATATTTTCATTTTGTTTTATCCTTTTAAAGGTTATTTCATTATATTTTGAATAGATTTACTCGTATGACTAAGAATGATAATTTACAATTTTTGTAACAGCCTGGTGGGAAAGTGGTACCGGGTCATTGTGTTCGTATAAATACAGGTGCTCCTGTACCAGAAGGTGCAGATGCCGTTGTACAAGTTGAGGACACTCTTCTCGTACGGTCTGCTGAGGAAGGAACTAAAGAATTAGAAATCAAGATTATGAAAGCACCGACAGTTGGACAAGATATAAGGTTCACCTTAGTATAGTGTTATTTATATATTTTAGTGTAATTTTTTAAACCTACAAAAGCGGCTTAAAAATCTCAAGAATGTAAGCAATAAATTAAAGACATGTTGACATATATGTTCTGACTCTGTATTTATTCTTACACTATTGTTGAATATGTAATGAAAAATGGAGTTTTTAAGGGCTTCACATGTGCCAGTCTAGCTCATTGCTTGTTCTATTATCGATTCGAGGATATTGAGTATAATCGTCATTGCTCCCTCATCGGTGATTTAGAAATCATGTGGGTTTAGTAGTTAGTCACTTTCAAAGAAATTGGTAATCACTGGTTAGTAACCCAGGAAAGCTGGTAAGATGAATTGACTACCGAGAAATGTCGAAAAACAAATGTTAGAAACCAATCAGCCAAGCCAATCAAACTAACAATCAAACTGATGCGCTACACATGCAAATAATTTACATGATTTAATTGGGACATCAACAGCTGAGAAACAACTCTAGTTTCTTGTTTAATATGAAAAATAGAATATTAGAACACAATGCCTTCTACTAAAATGTGGGATTTGGTTTGAAAAGCTAACTTAATAACGTTTATATTTCATTCTGTTATTCAGGAAAATTGGTTCTGACATTGGAATGGGAGAAAAAGTTCTAAGTCAAGGGCAGAAGCTGGGTCCTTCTGAATTAGGAATATTGGCTACTGTTGGGGTCACTAAGGTGAAAAGCTTCAAACCGCCAGTTATCGGTGTCATGTCAACAGGAAATGAGGTATGAGAAGTTTAAAGGAAAAACATACACTAGCATATTTAAAGACTATATGGAATTCTTCCTATGATTTTTGTTTTATCGCTTGCTATCCAACTGTTTTACGCTATACTGTCATTACTGTATAGAAAGTTTTTTTTAAAGTTTTTTAACATTAATATGTTTATTTTCTTTCCATTAGAAAATTTTCCTGATGAATGTAAGTTTTCAAACTTTTTATCGTTTTGATTGCGTCTATATATTCTTTATTCTGCATTTTAGTTACTTGAACCTGGAGAGACATTGATACCGGGTAAAATCCGTGACAGTAATAGAACAACACTACTAGCACAATTAAGAGACTATGGCTTTAGCTGTCTAGATCTAGGAATTGCTAAAGATACGTTAGTATATATACAAGTCTTTTTAGTAACATTTTTGAAATCGTTTTTACTGTTCTTGGTTAATTGATTAAAGTAATTAAGGGACTCAACTGAGGTTTTGAACATGATTGGACTGGAAATAATGTTTCGGGATAAATGTTCCATTTGGGGTAGGTCCAGCCAAATAATGTGTGTGAAAAAATGTTTAGATCATTCGCTCACTTCGTTATTTCCAGAATAATTGTTTTTATTGTGAAAATTTGCAACGAATTGGGCTAAGAAAAACACAAAAATAAGATATTCAATTTAATTCTCTGTATATTTCTTTAGTACCCAAGCTGATCTACGAGAGAAATTAAAAATTTATGTTGGACCTCATTGGTGTTCCTCTAATAAATAATAATTTATAAAGATTTAATCAGATAATCAGAGTAACTTCTTTTCATATTCTACTACAAAAATTTAACATCAGCGTCCTCAAGTTCATTTATTCTCTTTAGATGTCCGATGCAGTTATTTGCTTATCTTTATATTTTTCTATTTCAGTCCTGATGCACTTTTAAACTTACTTAGAAAAGCGCTAGATAAAGCTGATGTGATTGTTACAAGTGGGGGTGTGTCTATGGGAGAAAAAGTTTGTTTTCTTCCCTTATTGTGTTTGTCATGATATGTAAAAATAACTAAAATGCATTGAGTAGAATCGGTAACCCAAGTATTTTAATTGACTGTAACAGAGTTTTACATCCTATGATGGGATGGTAAGAGGCGACTTAATCTTTCTAAATTACCGAAGTCTATGCATCTCAACTCCAGCAGATGAGGTGGTTATGACCCCTGGTGTTGCTTAAAAATTGTAACACAAGAGGTTGGTGGAGCCAAAATCATCTTTCCTGTATTGGCGCCATATGACCTCAATTGTATTAATGCGTCGTAAAACCAAAGAAAACAAACACATATCCTAAGACAAGATGTTTGGAACATAGTCGGTGAATCATATTGTTTTTATTGAGACATTTTATTTTTTTATGATTAGTTTTAATCCAACTGTTAATTCTGATAAAAAGATTACTTTGAAGAAGTTTCTTTTTGGTATACTTACAGGATCTTCTCAGACATGTTTTGGAGAAAGACCTTCGAGCTAAAATACATTTTGGGCGTGTTTTCATGAAACCTGGGTAAGATATACACTATTTCTTTATTGTACATGTCAGTTTTTTCATAAACTAGTACCATTCGTATTAATTAGGCATTATTAAATTTTTGGTAAGCATATCTGTCAAGATTTGTCTAAAATGTAGGATGTTTTTTCAATTACAGGAAACCTACAACCTTTGCTACAATGGAATACAATGGTAAAAGAAAGCTTTTCTTTGGTCTTCCTGGCAACCCTGTGTCTGCCATTGTGACGTGTAACCTTTATGTCATTCCAGCTGTAAACAAAATGGCGGGAAATCCAAATCCAAGCCGTACTGTGATTAAGGCAAAGGTTGTAACCTATTGTTAAGTTAAATACTAAGTATTTATATACTATAGATCAATATCATTTGCTTATTTTGTCATTGAGGGAGGTAACAAATAGGGAAACTTTTTATTTTAATTTTCTCACAGTCTAAATGAATTGATGTGTATTTTGTTATCAGTTTATTCAACAATATCTCTGTATCACCTGTTAGATAAAAGTTACAGGGTGCATGTCTTATTTTAGATAGAAAAATAATGCAATTGAAAAAATACACATTGTAAAATTGTTTAAAAACTAATTTTTATTTTTAAAGAAATGTCTTTGCAGAAGATAATTACTTTTTTTAAATCATTTCAATAATTGTATCAAGTATAATATTTATTTTAAGAATGTTTGAGTAGCTTTTCGTATCATAAATGATGGTGCAACTCCTTTTCACAATCTGTATATTGAATTGTAGCCTTTTGTGTGAGATTGAAAGTACAGTAGATATGTCAATAGAAATATTACACTCGAATTTATTTGTTTTTGATAGATCCGTATTTTCAAAGTTTCAAAGAAGATATCACATCTAGATAATAAAAACCTATAAAAACGATTGTTCCATTATATTTTATACATTTTGAATTTTGGAAAGATACCTGCCACCTTTTTCACTTCACTTCTTACCATATGCTTAAAGTGCTGACGCGTTCTGGCAATCAAGTTAAGAGTTTGATAGTTTTGATAAATCTTTTACTTAAATATTGTGAAAGATATTAATTATATTGAACTCTTTTAGGGAATTTTTATTTCTTATCATATCTGTAGATAATTATTCTTTGAAAGAAAAAAGTACAAGAAAAGTTTAGATTTTGGAACGATAATTTAAGTTCACTTTGTTTCATTGTTATGAGTCTGTCTATGATGTTTTTTTAAATGTACTGTAACTTAAATATTTTATTACTTTGTGCGCATAACACAGCAGAAAAGAAATTTTCTCACACATTTCTTGTTTTAAAGTATCCGATGAAGATTAAGATTTGACATTTGATTGCTTCATTTATTTCAGGTGGATTCAGACATACGGCTTGACCCAAGGCCTGTAATAAAACATGTAATCTGATATAAAATTAAAAGAATTATATAACTGGCACGCAAAAATTGTCAATGTGTTAACAAACCTTTGAGAAAGATCCGGAGAAGCTTATAGCTTTCTTCATATACATGCTAACGTGTGTATGTTTACTAAAGGAAATGTGTATCAATATATTCAGTTAATGCGGCCGCAACGTTTTCAATTTTGTCGTTTTGGACGTTCGTTAGGAACTCTGATTCTCCCTATTCTTTTTGTCTACTGCTAAATGATTGTTACGTAAAAGTTTCTGCCGATTTTTTTTAGTATTTTATATATAAATCAGAATTCAGGAACATAAAATCCAGTCTTATGTTTGTTTAGGCATGATAAAACAAATATTTATGTACATATGTATTGATAATGAAAAACATCGAGAGAAATAAAAGAAATCATAAACATTCTGATTTTTGTACCGATGCTGAAAAATCATTATAAAATCGTTTATTTCATTTAGTAATGTTTTGTCAGAAAGGTTTCTTTGCACATGCGTAAAATAAATCTTGATAATGCTGGCGTATTATGTTTTATATTGTTTGAACATTGATACATACAAAAACTTTTTAATGTTTGCAAAAATAGCTTTTTTTAATTATATGTTGTTAAAGCAAACCATCAGCTGTTGCATTTTCACCTGTATTTGCTCGCGTAATGTGCCAATCGCTGCTACATTAAATAGCGAGAAAAGAATGTTATAAGAAATCAAACAATACCCAGCAATCAGCTTAATGTGTTACATAATTGTAAAACAGTATTAATGTTTAAGAGAATGGTATTTAACAAAACCGCATTTAAACAATACACGTATAAGAACACACATGGAGAGCATTAAACGTAAACAATGTAGGGAAAATTTGACACGTTAATTGAGGTACATTTTAGGTGCCAAATGACCGCTTAAGATTTTAACGAAATGCCTTTCCTTTTCTGTAGACGCAAATATTAGAAGATATTACGAGAACTTTTTTTATACTCCAATTAATTTATTGGAAACTGATTTTTATTTTATCGGACCAGAAACTTTTTAAGAAATGCATTCGCTAGACACGTTGATGGGCAACGAGCAAGCCGTAGTACGTGCTAAGCAGCAATTAACAAAGGGAACAGTAGCATGTTAGTTTCACAGTTTACTTTTAACGTTTTGTCAAGATGATTAAAACGCTTTTTACCGAATAGTGAATTCTGGAAAGGTGCAAAAGTCCAACAATGAAGAAATCCTAGTATGAAATAAACTTTACTTTCAAACAACAAATTTACGCCAAGCTAAAGTTAGCCAAGTTTTGATATTGCACATTTAAAAAACTTTACATATTCAGTTCAGCTTTAATAAACTTTTATAACAACATCACTATAATTTGTAAACTAAATGTGTTTACTAATATATTTAAATCAGGAAGAGAAAGTGTTTGTCAATATGTAGATAATAAAGTCAAATAATTTTAATATCAGTAAATTGAGTTTGTTTTACAACTGTAAATATTAAAACTCATCAACTAACGGCTGTTAAATATATCATATATTCTGGTCCGTATTGTTTTTCTCTTGTGGGGGTATTGAATACATTATGATTCACTAATAATTCTAGAGCTTTGGAAGTGTTCATTTTAAGAGAGAAAACTCCTCGTAAGCACCCATAACTCTAATATTTTATCACCCACAGATGCTTTTTACCAACTTAAAATTATTCTTCAAGTTATTAAAGCGATAAAACTAGATTATAAAGATTAAACAACAAGAGTACTAGAATTTCAAGTGTGTTTTATCAGAAATGACCTGTTTTATGGAGAAGTGAAAAAAAGACCAATAAAGAAGTAAGAAATTTTTGCTCTGTTTTGTGTTTGTTTATTTTATGTGCGTGTTGAGCGAGCATGTGTGTGCGCGCGCAGTTGTGGACAGAAGTTCCAAAGAAGGTCACAAAGTGACAATACATTTTGGCGTGTCATTTTGATATGTAAACGGAACTAAAGAAACCAATATATACATTAATCTTGATGAAATTTTAATTTAATTTTTATTTATTAACATACGACGAAAATGTTCCAATTGTTTATGTTAATGTTTTATTATTTATTTAATTGTAATAGTATATTCCGTAGAATCCAACATTATTATCACCTGTTAGCTGGTACATTTTTAGTTTAAAGAGTGCAAATATTGATGTACAAAAAATGTTTTTTTATATGAAGTATTATCGTAAATTTTCATTCATTATTTACCTTTCTTCTCATCAAAAAAGAATAAGACGAATAGTTGCATCAAGAGCATTGTATATTTTTGGCACGTTTGAGTAGGCTTTTATATCATTTATGATAGTATAAAACTTCAATGGTGCAACAAACTGTGTATATAATCCCTGTTTGTGTGAAGTTGAGAATGCAGTGGATAACTATAAAAATGTTACTCTTCAATTTATTTACATTTTTATGATAAATTCTTGGGTGGTTATATTGCACAATTGTGTGATATACTAACTAGTTGTATCTGAAAACTGAGTTTGCTAACGTGATAGCGTATTTCGTAAACACAGTTTTATTACTATTGAAATTTAAAGAAATAATACGACAAATTCGTTCTGAGAAAACGAAATATAGATTCTACAGTAGTGTACTTTGAACAAAAAGAAAACAACTCTATGGAAGTTACTGTACTGTACAGTACGGTAGAAATGCAGACAGGAATTTCAACAAAAGTAATTTCAAAGTATTTTTTTAGAAAAATTCTACTATTAGATTTACCAAGTGTATTAAAGACATTAATTCACGGCAGAGTAGGGCCGGAAGGTCATAATCGACCCTGAAATAAATAATGCTCTTGGGGCCATTATTCATTTTGAGGGCCGATTATCACCTTCCGGTCCTACTCTGCCGTGTATTAATCTCTTATTCCGAAGTCCAAGGATTATAGCTGATACACTTATTAAGATATTAATGTTTCGATATCAATTATAAACGATAGCTTCTATTGAGCTTAGTTTTGATATGAGACTTAAAAACGTCCTTTTTCAATAATGTTTGATGTCCTATTATTTTCCTTCATTATATCCAAATCAATTAATTAAATTTATTCATACAAAGGCATAGAAAACATGATTTTTATAAAGACAATTGCAATGAATTGTGTTTTGTTTTGTTTGAAATGCTTCTTTAATTATTTCTTGTATATCTTATAGCTTAACATGCAACATGCTAAATTTGTCTGATGGTCCTTTATTACTCTAAAATTATTCTTTCCATATTCTTTTTTAAAATTTAGCAACCAAAAGTATAGGGTTTGTTCAAACATGTCATTGTTCGTACAGAAAATCTGTCTAAGAATGAGTTCTATTTACGAAAAGTCATTCATAAGAGTATTTATTATCTGTTGTGAATCTCAACAATCCTTTCAATCCTCCAAGGGAAGAATGACTTCATTAAATCTTTTATCATTCAAGACAGAAAATATTTAAAAATTGCCTTCGCTAATTGTTATTGCAGGGCCTTCAGGGCCGATTATCACCTTCTGGCACAACTAAGACGTGTGTTAATGTCTTTAATACACTTGGAAGAAAAAATAAAAAAGAATCTTCTTTGGAATTTCTTTTGTTGAAATTGAAATTCATGTCTGCATTTCTACTGTAATGTACAGCACAGTAACTTCTACAGAGTTGTTTACTTTTTGTATGTTCAAAGTACACTATTGTAGAATCTAGAAGCAAGTTTATTATTATTTTTTTGGAACGAATTTGTCGTATTATTTCTTTAAATTTCAATAGTAATAAAACTGTGTGTGTACGCTCTCATCATAAAATCAAGCGATTCATGCTTAAAACCTACTTTCACTTTTACAGTTAACTGTTTGATGACGTAAAATGTGACGTCATTGTTTCAGTTTTGCACGTGCACATGCTCAGCGGGCTGATAACTTGTTCTCGGCACCGGGCCGCCAACTCATAATGGGTCACGTGACACTCATAATCAGATGAAATCATAGGCGATTTTGTTAATATATATAGTAACAAGTGTATTAATAGTATTTATTATCTGTTGTGAATCTCAACAAATCCTTTCAATCCTCAAGGGAAGAATGACTTCATTATATCTTTTATCATTCAAGACAGAAAAGATTTAAAAATTGCCTTTGCTAATGGTAAGCCGCTTGCATATCATTTTACACTTAAGTATTCATCCAGTTACAAAAACTTTTAGAATTCACAAATAGCTTCATGTATTTTTGTAATGGCATTGTGGTAAAGTAAAAAAAAATTCAAAACATTTAGACTTATGTTTATAGAACATTTTGTAATTTTAACGTTTTCTTTTATTACATTTATAAAAATGTATTGTGTAGTAAAGAAATCTGCCTTGGCAATACCTGACCGCATCTTTGGGATGGCAAGTAATATTAAAGAGAAAATAAAGAAATGGCAATCGGTAATTAAGAATACATGTATCCAGCAGCCGATAAGCATTTACTGAAAGTGTTCTACATCGTTTTGATTCTTACTTGTATTTTGAATGTGAGGAAAAATGATAACGACTATAATATTATGATTGGTTTGCTTCATCTAATAACATTAGTGGCACACAAACCAACTCTATTTACAATTGAATATTTAGCTTTTTTTGATATTGGTTAGTAAAGACTATGATGTGATTTTATGAATATTATACATTTCTAAATAATATTTTTTGGAATGTTTCAATTTCACCTCGGGTTTTAAAATATTTTTTTTTGTTTTCAGTAGATGATGCATATAATCAATTTATTTCATTCATAATTTTGTTATATTTTGATCAAGTATTTTTTTTTTAATTCTATTTGTGAAACACTGAGTGAACTTAATGTAAGTGTATCTCTCTTGGGCTAGGAAATTTAATCTGCTGCAGACGATACAATATTTTCTTACTTAAGGTCGAATTACATTTCTGTTGTTCAGTAATAAAAAGATATGCTGAATGAGCAAGAATGTTTAATCTTTCTTATTTTAAGAAGGATATTGGCATTATTTCACC